TGATCAGGGGTGGAGATTTACACTTCACTTTGAACCCTAACATACAGTAGATACATCATCACAGATATCTTCATAATCTTAAAGAGCATTTAGGAGAATTAAAACAATTCTTCAAGAGTTGCACATCATAGATATTAGCAGGGCTAATAACCCCAATGTTAAGGATTTATCATGTTATGCAGGCTTATATACGTATAATTCATGTTCATGATTAGACTATTTTTTTGTAGCTCATCCCTTTCTCGAATGATGTAATGAAAGCTCATATTGGCCCGATCACGGTCTCTGACCATACACCGATTAAAATCACAGTTAGAAAAAAAACAACTGAACAACAGTATAGTTAGCAACTTAAAAGTTTTATTAGAAGATAACAGATTTGGAGATGAAACTAGGATTTACTAGATAAAATGGGCTGTTCACTTTACAATGGAATTTTCTCTTAACTTAATGAATGTGGTGAAATTTTACTTTGCAAAGAATAATCTATGTATTCATATAAAGTTAAAAAAAATAAGAATCGTAATTGGATGATGGAAGTCAGCAGAGCTTCAGCTCATTCACTAAGCTAAGGGAAAATCCCAAAGGCAACAGCATATTTGCATTAACTAAATAAGCCAGCACACGATAACACTGCCGGTGGCTCTGAAGGGGTGATCTACAGTAAACACTACACAGCAAGTTGAACACCTGACACAGCATTATTTGAGGTAGAAGTTACTGTTCCTTGTCTTTAGTAGTAGCCACTGGGTCTGCTGCCACCAGGCTCCAGGGTCATCACATGGCTAGTCCCCAGGCTTCAGGCCTAACCATCACAGACAATCCATGGCAGCCTCCCCACAGGCTGGGCCTGGGGGGAGGAAAAGAGAGCTCACATGGTCCACCCCAAGATTTGTTTCCTCCCCCAGCATGCACCGTTGGCCATCGCTCAACAGTGATTGGCTGGAGATGGATATCCACTCATAGCAATCACATTTGTTTCTCTGTTCTGTGACCAGGGCACACCCTGCAGTACATCCAGCAGCAGACAGATGGCAATCAATAACAGATTGTTTAGGGGAAAGCCAAATGAACCCAGACTACAAATTAGTATCAGACCACATACAATCTGATAATCATTACATTTAATATCACCCTTTCCAGTAGAGCGCTACATATATAAGAGAAAAAAATAGATATAAACAGTGCAAGGGGACATACTATCGACAAATCCCAAATTCAAAATTACATTGTGCTTAGTTCATCAAGTGCAGATAGTGCTCATACTGTAAGTGTCCAAAACTAATTTGCTTCCAGTCCACAGCAGAATGTAAAGTGATCTCCTGGGTATATGAACACAACCCCGATCTCCCGTGACCGTCACCGAAGTGAACTTATGGAGTGCCGCTCACCTTAGTATCAGACCCAAACTAGGTCTGTTTACGCTGTCTGATATTAAGGTGAGCAGCAATCATTTAATTTCATGTGACGACACTGAAGAAATGACACTTTGCTACAATGTAAAGTGGTGAGTGTACAACAGATTTAAATCTTTGCTCTGGTAATTCTTTGGATTAAGTTCACTTACTGTTAATTGGAGGAATGTATTGTGTCTACACTTTCACTTTTAAAGTGCTCACTAAAAGCCACAACTATATAAAGATAAAAAATGTTTTAAAAAATGTGGCAGATATAGGAAATAAGACAGATTGCAAAACCTTTCTGCAAAAGGTCAGATGTGTCACAAGTGCAAACACAGCAATCACCATGCTATCTTCCTCCAAACATATACAAGATATTATTGCAGCATCCAATTCTGATTCTAGTATTTATTAACTGAAATGATTGCCACTGCAAATGTGATACATTTGAATATATTTAAACGGAAAAAGGTTCAAAGAAACATGTTTATAAATAAACATAATAATTACCTTAAAAACCCACTGGGGTAAACAGATAGGTAATAAAGAGTAACTGGAGTGGAAAAAAATAAGTTTTATGCCTCTAAACATCATTCCCCAATACAGTTAAAGCCCAATTAAAGCCTATTGTAAGTACTTAAAACTCTAATGCAGTCAGACTGCATATACAGTAATAGAAATTACCTTAGAAATTAGAAATTGTTCAAAATTGTTTAAAATGCCCTATCATTGGACGCCAATAACTTATGTTATTCTTAACATAGAAACATAGAAGAGTGACGGCAGAAAAAGACAAAGTGGTCCATTGAGTCTGCTGCTTTATTTTTTCTTTGCATTTGTTTTTTTAATCTTTTTGTCTGATTTTAAATCTATGTTTGTGTTAAGCATGTTTAAAAAAAAATTACTGTTAACTGACTTGCTAGGGTTGATTTAGTAAAGGCAAATAGGCTGTTTACTTTGCAAGGTAATTTGCACTTTGCAAGGGAAGTTTTTATTTGCTTAGTGAATGAGGTAAAGCTGTGATGATGTCCATCATCTAATCAGGTGCAAGCAAAAATACAGTTTTGTTTTTTTATTTCCTTGTGCATGATTGGATATTCTTTGCAAAATAAATTATCACCACATTCACTAAGCTAAGTGAAAATGTCCTTGCAAGTGAAGGGAATATTTGTAAATCAACTCCACTTCCTCTGCTGAAAGTCTATGACAAGCATCATCTACTCTTTTGGCTAAATAATACTTCCTAAGGTTAGTTTTGAACGTTTCTCCTGCTAGTTGCCCCATACCCTTTTTTTTAAAATATATTTTTATTGATTGTTTTTTTTGTACATTATTCATGCAAACAGTACAATTGGGCTCACAACGCTTAATGGTACTGATGGCAGTGCATCGGTAATGCATATAATACACATAGGAAATAGTTACATCATAAAGGTGTTGGTGTAAATGTGTACTGATATGTTTGTATATGGAGACATAGTGAGCTTCAAATTGACATAAAACAAACCATAAAGCTAGGTGAAACAACGTATTTTGAAAGTGTTTCAGAGTAACAGGTCACTGCATTTGATCCTCAAATAATTACTTAAGTATTTTTAGGTTTCTAAGTATTTTGTTTAACTGTGCCTTATTTAGCAAACCATTCTGTATAACAAAATGTGGCCAACAGCTTATCAATCTTTTGTTTGTCAAAAGACTGTCAATAAATAGTTTCCATCGTCTATTGGAAAAACTGTTAGTGTGTTTGTGTTTTGTGTATCTAAGCATCTAATTTTTCATGGCGGTGAAAAAAGGCCCTTTATTTTATGTACAGAATAGTAGGGATCGGTTAGAGATCCATTATTACATTATGTTCCTTCCGGAGTGATAGAAGAATAATACTCTTTATTAAAAGTCTTAATTATTAAATTAGCTCGAGATCCTCATATAAAAGTCCCAAAAATAAAGATAACCAAACCAGGCCGTGCAGTACCCAGCCTGCAGTACAGGGGGAAAAGTGCAGTGCCATTCATTAACCATTAGGAGGTAACCAGAAGTCTTGCTGCGGCAAGAGAGGGTGAAAGGATTCTAACTTGGGCAGAACTTCACGTTACAGCCTTGTCCACTGTTTACTTCCCAGGTGTGGACAACTGCAAGGCAGACTATCTAAGCCGGCAGGGCCTGGACCCACAAGAATGGTCCCTACTCATAGGTTTTTCAGGACCACTGTCTTAGGTGGGGAACTCCAGATGTGAACCTCCAGGCCTCCAGATTAAACAACAAACTGGACTGGTTTGTTTCCAGAAGCAGAAATCCTCTGACAGAAGCAATGGATACTCTGTTGGCTCCTTGGGATCACTACACAACACCACAATTTTCAGCCTTTTTTATCCTATTTCAAAGACCACTTGCCTCCTATTCATTGATTAAGACTTTTGTGCCTTATATGTGGTTCCTGTGACTCCATGGAATTTGAATCTAGTTCTATTGATACTTTTAAAAAAACACCTATTGAACCTATCAGGGATTTTCCGTTATTCACTGTTACTCCTCAAGGTTTTCCTTGTTGCCTTCACCTCTGTGAGGCATGTGTCCCAGGGCATGCAGATCTCACTAGGGATGCATTTAAGTCTCACCAGGTCTGCATTTGGGTCTCACCGGAGATGCATGTAGGTCTAACCAGGGATGCATATGGGTCTCCAGGACTCTGCATGCGGCTTCTGGGGTCTTTATGGTTGAATGGGTAGGATCGGGGCTTGTGCTGGTGGGTGTGGGGCTGTACTGTGCTTGGGTCTCACCAGGGATGCATGCAGATCTCCCCAGGGCTGCGTTTGGGTCTCACCAGGGATGCATGCAGGTCTCTCCAGGGCTGCGTTTGGGTCTTACCAGGGGTGCATGCAGATCTCACCAGGGATATGTGCAGATCTCACCAGGGATGCATTTGGGTCTCCCCAGGGATGCATTTGGGTCTCACCAGGGATGTGCTTGGATCTCACCAGGGCTGTGTTTAGGTTTTACCAGGGCTGGGTTTGGGTCTCAGCAGAGCTGCGTGCAGATCTCACCAGGTAGGTTTTGGTCTCACCGTGCAGGTTTCACCAGGGATGCATGCAAATCTTACTCGGTCTGCGTGTGGGTCTCTCCAGGGCGGGTGTACAAGTAAGCATTTTCAGGAATACAAGTAATCCTGAAAATTACCTGTATCAGCCCGATATCGATACTAGTATCGGTATCAGGATACCCCTAGTGTAAAGAAGACCTAGATCCAGAATTTTAGTTCAGGATCACTGAGAGAATCTTAGGATTTTATTTTGGGGTGTTTATTTTTACTTACTTTACACTACATTTTTTCATTTTGACATGGAGTTGTGTCTACGTTTCAATATTGCATTTATATCACCTCCGAGATAAGGGCACAAACTGTCACCATATACCATGATTATGTTCCCTTTTGGCCTACTTGCACATTATGCCAGGATTTCATAATTTCTTCAGACTGCTCCCTCTGTGATCAGTCCTACATTTAGCCCTGAAGAAGTCAAGCTCAGCACATTGAGCAACCAACAGTGTACATGCTGTCTGGTTCCTTTCTGTTACTTCATTTCTTGTGAGGTACCAGAAAGAGGGAGTCTTGTGGTTTTATTTGCTGTGCCAGATACTTCAGAAATGGATATTTGCTCCTGCTGTACCTTTTTTATCACTTTCTTGGGTAAGATGCTATATTTATGATATCAGATTTGATGTTTAGTGCCTCTTGCAAGGACTCAGATTTGACTAGTAAAGCATATTTAGCCTATTATTATTTATAACCGTAAAGCATTCAATGTTGGGAAGTAGGAAGTATATTTTATCTGTCCTGCTTCTTTATATCGGTTTCAGTTCCTGAATTATGTTTGCTCACAGCTAAGGAGGGAAATTGTAGACACATGGAGGTTGTTTTACTATTTCCATTAGCTTAGGGAAACACGTGAAAATTAGAACACCCAATTACATGCAAGGAATATAATAAAAAAACTGTATTTTTGCTTAAACATAATTGGCAAATTGAAGTCAGCAGAGCTTCAACTCATTCACTAAGCAAAGTGAACAACTTATTTGCCTTTAGTAAATAAACCACATGGAATGCAGTGTCTAAATCTGTGTGAGAATGCTACCACAAACTGGGCCTACAATTTCCCTAGGGCAATGGGCATAATTTAAATATATACATATTCAGATTTATATTCAGCAGATGCTGTAGAAAAAAAAGTATTGTTAAAAACACACCAGAAATAAACAAAAAAATGTATAATTCTCATTTGCTAAGGTGCTAAGGCACATGTCCTTTGGCCCAGCACCTCTCCTACAGCTTTACATTTTTAAACCGAACCCGGCCCTATGGTGCCCGGCTTTACCGGAAGGCTGATCAACGCCCCCAGCATCCAGTGCTGTATATAGAGGCAGGCACTCCAACATCAATATGTACAATGCAGGCCCATCAGAATCTGGAACCAAGGAAGAAGCCAACATTGTTTACATTTTTTTTACTTAATTAGCGCATGAACTCATACAGAAAAACATATAAATATAAAACATATAATGAAGAAAAAGGAAAAAAAAAAATATATATATACCAAATTCATAGGTACTATGGAGAATAAAAGCTGATAACATATACTGTATGTATACTATTCTGAGAGTGGTGAAAGTTTGGAACTCACTACCACAGGCGGTGGTATCTGCTGATAACATTGATAAGTTCAAGAAACTACTGGATGAGTTTCTTCTCTTGCAGAATCTACCTGAATATGGGAAGTTGTAAAGCCAGATAAATACACACACACATACAGACACTCACATACATAGTTGGAACTGGATGGACCTTGGTCTTTATTCAACCTTACATACTATGTTACTACCACTGTGTACAAAACATGGAAATGAGTGCAACACATGGTGAATTTCTGAATCGTTGGTTTATGCTTTTCTAAACCAGTGAGACTATTCAAACACACATGGATAAAATTATTTTATTTTTTTCACAGTTACTGTATAAGGGAATAGCATGTTAGTCAATGTTATATGTAAAGTCAATATGTGTTTAATCTATATATATAAATAAATATTGCCCTTTTCAGTCATTGCACTAATTTTACAGTGGATTTGTAATTCTGCTTATTTATCAGGTTTTTCAGTCTTTTGCCTAGCAAAGAATGTCAATGAGTATTCAGGACAACTAGGAGAAACATTGACCATTGTTTGTCCATACCAACGCCGTGCAGATCGCTGGGCAAGGAAGTTATGGTGCAAAGAGAATGAAGTTGGTTTGTGTCAGGCGGTGGTCAGTGCTCATCAATATTCGCTGTATGGGACCAAAACAAGAGGGAGCACTACAATCTCTGATAATGCACATGAAGGAATGGTTACAGTCAATATTACTAATCTGCAGAAAGATGATGCTGGTTTATATGAGTGCAGGACAGTCATTTTTGGTGACACTGGTATTTTACAGAAGATCAGAGTGCTAGTGCTTGAAGAGGATGCAGAAGGAAATGTATCAGCTGTGGATAAAGTTCAGTATAGTATTTCTGGGTAAGAAAAGAGCTCAAGTTATTTACACTAGGCATTGGTTCTTCACTGCATGTGTTTCTAATCCATTTTAATAAATGCATATTTGGTAATTATCTGGTAGAATCAGTTAAAGAGGACCAGTCACACTGTAGTAGAAATATAACTGCAAATGAGGGCTTGCATGAAATAAAAAGTATTCATGAATGTTTAATGCAGTGTTTTTATTGGTGCTTGTCTCATAATAATGCAGTAAGAACAGTGTTTCCAAAATTAACATTGCTTATTCTGAAATATGACAAGTGCATTGGGGCATCCCAGATTCTACAGACAGATAAGCTGGAGGTTGAGCATTAACAGTTTCAAAATCTGCCAAATAATAACCCAATGGGAGTACAGGTAAGTAGGGGAAGAGAGGCCAAGGATAAAGGAGGAAGGAATGGGATGGGGAATTAATGACAGGGAACTAAAAATGAAGGTTATGGTTCACCATTAGGTTCAGGATAAGATCCAGTTAGTTAAGAGGTATGGAAGGGAGCCAGGAAATAAGCAGTTGTTTAAAGGAATATAGACCTGGAACATAGACCAATACATCCATGTGAAAAGAAAACAAATAATTCAGTCAAAGTCTCCATCTACCACTAGGCAGTTCTCAAAATATATTTTAACATGCTGTACGGCACCTGGAAGCATGGCCAATATGGCAATCTCTAGGTTTCCTGTTACATCTTGTGGCTGCATAATGTTATATGCCTGAAAAATCTTCACCCAAAACGGTAGCATTTTTGCGCATCTCCACTAAATATAGAGGTGGCTCTTGGGCTGTAGATTACATTTCCAGCACATATGAGAGGCTGATGGGAATAGTCACTTCAGGATGCTTGGGCATCTATATCAACTGTTTTTCTCTTGATAGTGGATTGACAGAATGGATGAATGAGTAAGAATATGGGCTTTAGTCCATGCCTTTGTCAAGAAGGATTGATTTAGGGCCCATTCCCAGATGACTTTGAAAGATGGCCCCGCTTTATCGGCCATCTCTCTCAAAAGTGCAGGGAAACCACTTCAGGGTAGATGCACATGTGTTTAATGAGAAGGTGATGTAGCAGAGAGTAATAGTACTTGATTTTTGGTTGAGAACATGTCAAATATGCAGATCTGGTATGCGACTAGCACTCAGAAAAATGAAGGGAGACATGCGTGGTAGAAATTGAGGACCAAGATGAATAGGGTAAAGAGACCTGATCTTGAGGATAAGTCCTGGAATGATAACCTGGAATCGCAGTGCTGGACCAGTGAGTAAGTCAAGTATAGGAGAAAGTCTTCGGGTAGATGGAGAGCTGGCTCTAGCCATGGCAGGGCTTTTAATGGTAAAGGAGAGCTGCTTCTTAAAGTTCAAATGTTTTCGTTTCCTGCAGAATCAGCTGGTCCCCTGAGCACTGATCATGATATCCTGTTTTAGGGTGGCTCATTTGCCTTGCAGGGTCCTATGGACCCAGTCTTGTGTGTGCTAACAAGCTGTGTATGTCTCCAAAAACACACAGACACAGCAAGGCAAACCATCTCCTCCCCCCTGCTCCCCTCTCCTTTTTCCTTATCCAAGCTAGTAGATAGACAGTTGCTGTAGACTGATCTGTCACCTGTAATCTTATACTAGACAGGAAGTTCAGGGAAGCAGAGCTGATAGCGTTGGAGCCAGCTGTTCTTAAACATGATGACTGTAAGTGCCTGTGCAAAAATGCAAAGAAATGCTTTGCAAGGCAATGTATATTTATTCATCTGAATTCATTATGGAATGTTACGACTAGGGATGCACCGATATATTGGCCGCCGAAACATATCGGCCGAAAATGGCACTTTTGGCATAATGCCGAAAGAGCCATGTTTCGGCCGATACATCGGCGCATCCCTGGTTTCTTTTCTCCCCGCTGGACGCTGCTCTATGTCCCAGCGGTGAGAAAAGAAAGTGACAGCCAGCCGAGCGCTGCTGGACGAGAGCGCTGTGAGTGGCCGGCGTCTCTCCTCCCACACCGCTCGGCCGCCTATCACAGTCCGGCAGAGCGGTGTGGGGGCGGAGACAGCGCTGTCACAGGAGGCTGGGCTCTCCTCTCTACACCGCTCGATCAACCTCCTGTGACAGCGTGTCAGAGAGAAAAGCAATGTACACACACTCAGTGATCAGTGATCGCTGAGTGTGTGTACATAATTGAGGATAGGGTGTGTTAACTATATCCTCAATTATGAGTGAATGGGAGTGATCTACATCACCCCCATTCACACGACCCCAGATAAACTTATGGACGCTGATCTTAAATGTTGGAAGTATGCCCAAGGAAGGGAAGTGGGGATAGTTTGGAATTTATAAATACACGTGGAAGAGCATACATTTTAGGGATGTTGATTTTCCCTGTTCAGGAGAGTGGGAGTGAATTTGAAAAAAGTCGGGAGATCTGAAAATACTCATTCAGTGTGGTCCAGCAAGAAGGAGTTAAGCAAGAATAATGTGCTTAGATCTGCTGGGATATGGATTCCTAGCTAGGGGATAGCCTTGGGCTCCCATTTGAATGAGAAGTTAGACTTTAAGTGAGAAGAAATAGACAGGGGAAACTAAATATTTAAAAAGTCAGACTTGGATATGTGTACCTTAATGTTTCTAAGTGTCACAAAATGCTAGAACTCCTTGTAGATATTAGGGATGCTAGTAGCAGAAATATATAGTAATAAGTCATCCACATACAATCCAAGTTTATGCCTGGTTGGGGAAAGGGCAGGTGTCACATATCGAATTGCTTGTCTTAGTAAACAATGGGGCAAAGATACCTTGAAGGTTTTATAGAACCTAACGGTAAAACCGCCAAGGCCCAGGGTTTTACTAATGTTGAAGGATGAGATAGTGGAAAGGAATTCTTGATCAGTATATTCTTGATCAGTCTGTGCAGGTGCACGCTGCTGGGACTTACCCTGTGTCTCTTCTCGTCTCCCGGCCGAAGATCTACACTGAGCATGTGCATGCCCATGATCGCTTGCGGCTGCCCGAGATTTTTCAGATCTTCGGAAGGGAGCGCGCAGCGGAGAGCACAGGTAAGTTTGACCTTTTCCGTGCTTTTTAAAAAAATGTTTTTGCTAGCAGTAGATATATGCAACCGCGCAAACCGCGAGGGTTTAATTATCCTTTAAGTTATTACATGCATTTATTGAATAACTCATTATATGTGTTCCATATTTTAAAGGTCACAGTCTGACTCACAAATGATGGTGTTCATTCTTGGAAGCAGCCTTCTGTTGTGCAAAGTACTAGTGATGGGACTGCTCTACAGCTGGTGGAAAATCCAACACACCAAAAAGTAAGAATGGAGGCAAGCCATGACTGCAATATTCACAATTTTTACAGGATTATTTCAATTGTAGATCTGGAAAGGGCCAGGGCTTCTTAAAACTCCACATAATTATCCTAATTATCCTAAGGCCTCATTCACACTGCGTTAACTCGAGGTGTACATGTCTGTGCGGCGTGCACGCCGCATCGGGCCATTCCCAGGAGGGAGAGGTGCTGCGTGTAGCAGCCTGTTTTTCCCTATGGGAGTATGCGGCCATACGGTGTCATACGAACACCCGAACTGCACATCCATGCGGGTCCGGGTGTCAGTGTTCGGACGCAGACAGGATCCATCCTGGCTGTGTCCGAGTACGGACACACGGGACTGCACAGATGTGCAGTTCGGGTGTGCGTACGTCCGAATCCTCCCATAGGGAAGAACAGGCTGCTACACGCAGCACCTGCCCCTCCTGTGAACGGCCCGATATGGGCGTGCACGCTGCACAGACATGTATGCCCCAAGTTAACACAGTGTGAATGAGGCCTAAATGTATTGGAGCAGTGGTAGAGTTTGGTTGTATTGGTAGTTTGGCTTTGTTTTTGTGTTTATTTTTAAAGGTTGGCAAATATTGTAAGGCATCTGACCAAAGGGCCACCATTGTTTTATGAGGTGCATTGTTAAATCTGAAGTTTAATCTGCTTAAATGTTTTCCTCCCTGTCCCACCCCCATCAACATGCTAATTATATTTTTAAATAAAACCTTTCCATTTTAATGACATAACTTATTTTAGGTACAAACCGTAAAATGACAAAATAGGGCTTTTTAGGTGCCAAAATAAACTTTTTACAAATTCATGTCCGAATAAAATACTTTTTTTTTTTGTGGTTCAAGTTAAAATCTTTTCTTATGTGCACTATTGATTTTAAGAAAAGATTTTAACATGGACCACAAATATAAACGTATTTTATTCAGACATGGGTTCGTAAACAGTTTCTTTTGGCACCTCAAAAGCCCCATTTTGTCATTTTACGTGTTGTATAACTTATTTTAGACCTAGAGACATCATCACTGGGTCTCTGTGCTACTCTATAACATGCACCCAAGTCATGGCTGGTGGGAGGGGCCAGCAGGATGTAAATAGCTTCCTGAAAAGACCACAGTACTCCTCTCTAGATCCCTCAGCCCTGATGCAGGTATTGAGCTGGCTCTTAGCCCTCGTTCACACCTGAACGTTTTGTAACGCGATCTACGCTCGACGAACGCTCTACAAAACGCTCAAAAATATAAATCCCATTGTATTCAATGGTCTCGTTCCCACCTTGGCGTATTTCCGCCCGTCCCTAACGCGCTACAAAACGGCCCACGCCTGAAAAGGTACATGTACTACTTTGGGCCGTTTTGTTGCGCGTTTCCATTGGGATACAGCCAAGTAGCCTTCGGAAACGCACTACTTTTTTACCGCGAATCGTGGTAAAAAAACCAGCGACAGACGCGCATATGCAATACGCCTAGGTGTGAACGAGACCTTAGGAGTTATGCAAATACCAAAATGCAATGATCGGTCTACACTTGCATTCAGACATCTATGGTTTTTGAAGAAGCGATATGTATAGGGCTGCAGCTAACGATTATTTTCATAATCGATTAACTGTTGCAGCTCTAGATATGTATATATCGGAGTGTGTGTATATGGGTGTGTGTATGTGTGTGTTTTATGTACGTATGTTTGAGAGTGAGTGGATGTTTGTATGTATGTGGGTGTGTATATGTATGTGGATCTATGTGAGTGTATGTATGTACTGTATATATGTATGTATGTATGTGGTGTGCATGGATGTATGTACAGTATGTGGACATGTTGTTGAAGTGCCTCAAAGCACACAGAACATACAGTATGTAGTATGCCATGTCCTCCTTCCCCGCTGCCACTTACCCCTCACATTTGCTGGCAATTTTCTGGCTGTCATTTGCTGTGTAAATACAGCAGCTATCACAGGAGCTACTGTAAAAAATAACAGACCTTCTGACATAGCATCACACTGTTCAAGCACAGGATAGAGAAATACAAAGACACATTGCTACCTTTGTATTTACTGTTTCATTCACCTGCAAATCAAACGGAAACATTTGGGTCTGCAAATGATGTCAGTTAAAACAAACTGACAAGTAAAATAAAAAAGTGTCTTTTTTTAAATAAAATGTGTTCTTTTTTTAACCCCTTTTATCAAGCCTTAGTGCTCCCTAACCAGCTCTACTTAACTCCTTCCTTCCCTTCTTCCCTTAGCCTTAATTTTCCTGCTGATTTTTTTCATTTTTACTTATTTTGGTAATTTTTTTAGTGTTGCATTTAAAGTAGTATTAAAGGCTGGTCGTCTTTTTCCTTAATGCATTCTCTGCATGTAAAAGAAGGATTTGCATGATTCCATTACCTTACTAAAATGAGGAATAAACCCTTTAGTTTTTTGTGTGCCTGAGGTGATAAAATATAAAATACTTATGTTTTAGAAGATATGCTGCTTTTTACAATGCTTTAAAGCCGGGGTGTCCAAGTCAAATGATCTGGGGGTCACTGGGCCCATTTTCTTCTTTCATGGTAGCTGCATGAGGAGAGGCAGCCAGGAGAGAGAATGAAGAGAGACAGCCAGGGAGAGAGTGAGGAGAGACAGCCAGGGGAGACAGCCAGGTTGATGGACAAGGAGAGATAGCCAGGAAAGAGAGGAAGGAGGGATATCCTGGAGAGAGAGCGAGGAGAGACAGGCAGGAAGATGAGTGAGGGTGGACAGCCAGGAGGATGAGCGAGGAGTGATAGCCAGGAAAGAGAGGAAGGAGGGACATCCTGGAGAGAGAGCGAGGAGAGACAGCCAGGATAATGAACAAGGAGAGACAACTAGGAGAGACAGAGAAGAGAGACAGCCAGGAGAGTGAGGAGAGACAGCCAGGAGAGTGTGGAGAGATAGCAAGCAACACATCTGCCTGACGCAGAACCCCTGTGCCCTTCAAGACTTATATGCATCCCGTGTTTCAGACACCTCCTTGTCCCCGAGTTCCAGCATCCCTCCGTGTCCCGTGCCTCCTCCATGCACTCAAGTTGGAACATCAGGACCCCGTGGTTGCCCCTGTCCACTGGACATTGTGACATCTTGTGTCCTGATTGCAGCGAGCACATATAGGACTCAAAAACTGGACTGTCCGGGTGAATCCCAGACAAGTGGCAACTTAGCTACACCCCTAGCTGCTGCAAAAGGTAAAAGCCCCCTCTCTGTCCCTGGACCCCCCTGCTGACCTGATGGGCCCTGGGTCCAGTATGGGAGGCCCGGCTCTACTCTCCTACCAGTGCCCTTGCCTGCGAGCCAAAAGTAACCGATCCGCAGGCTGCAAATGGCCTGCACACTGGTACTTTGAGCCCCCTGCTTTAAAGGAACCAACTATTTTATATAGTGCATTAAATTGAAGTAAAACAGTCTTAATCTTCATATATTTTTAATCTGAATGTGCTATGTCTTCCACATGTACTGATATTGAATATTTAACCTCTTTTCTTGCAGAGTGAAACATGAATCATTTCCTTTTTTATCAGCTGAGCAGGCATTACACACTGGAGACAGATATGAAGAGCCATTCGATTTAAATAATAGTGAAGGAAATAGTGATCCATACTATATAAATTACGTTTACAGGGGACACCTTGACCAAGAACACTGACAGGAATGATCACCCAGTTCATATTTACAAGTAATAATATGAATATCATGATATGGTGGAATATTAAAAGAAATTTGTCAAAAGTAGAAAGTAGATGTTATCTACCAGTGCATGATATCAGAAATGAAAGAGATAGAAGATTGATTTGTCAATGTTTCTTAGATACATGTGTAAAAGAAATCAGCTTTGTGTAAATGTGTTAAAGCTTAAAAAACATTGTTTCTATGCACAGTTTGTAATTTTATAGACACATGGATCGATGGATGGAGCCATATTTGCTCATTACATATACAGACTCTGCTTTGTACTTAGCAGGGCTACAAAATAATCCTGTTTTACTTCAATTTCACACTATGGAAGTCTTTGGAGTTAATATACTAAAGAAGTAGAGTTTGTTTACTTTGCAAAGTGTATGTTCATTAACCTTCTACCTTAAATAAAACAAGGTTGTGTTAACTTTGAATAGACAATTTTGTATATGGGAAATGATAGGATAACTAAACCCAAGAACAACATTTGATTTTATTGCAGCTAGGTAGGCCGTAATGTAGTGGCTGCATTTAAAAAAAAATGTTTTAGGCTTAGAACATTTTCAGCAAGTACAGAAAAAAACGATTTGATCCTGCCAGATATGCAGTTTCCTTGTCACTTTCTGTAAGTTGAACTGGAAGCATAAAACACCATTATCTTCCTTCTGTAAACTACAACATTTCTCTATCTTCAATATATACTAAAAAAGAACAGAGGCAGACATATTTGTAGTTTATTCTGGGTGTTAACCATGGTATCCTCCATAGATACCATGAAGGAGTGAAAACCACCACCCAGGGAAATTAAGTGGGTTATTCGCAGAACTACCAGGTGAAAATAAAAAAATTACATCTTGAAAAAAGAAAACTAATGCAGCCACCATTTCTAAGAACTGATAATCTACTATATGTAAAATTGTTGGTTTTGGGTATTGATACATTTTTAGAAAGGTTATTGAGCATAGCTTGACCTTATTCACTATGCCAAGTAAATGTTTACTCTGATAAGGGAACAGTCTCTGTTCCTTTATTAACTGCAAGGGTTAAATGCTTTTTTAGTCTAGGGAGTAAGGATTAAGGTGAAATACTTACCTTAATCCCTGCTCCAGCAGTCTCTCTTCTATTCATAAGACAGGTCTTCTGAAGATGCTTCTCTTGCCTGCAGTACCAGTCACAGCTCTCCAAAGTCATCAATACAATGCAAGGTCGGTGATCCTGCATTGTACATGAGGTTCCCGAAGGCCTGCCCACATCCCAGGTGCATTGGACAGCGGAGGAGAGCACTGGCTGCTGGGAAACTAAGGTAAGTATTGTGCTTATGCCTATAAGCATTTAAACCCTGCAGTGTGTGTGTGAGTGAGTGTGGGTTGTGGGGGAGTAATTTATATATTGCATAAGAAGAGTTTTAAAACAAACCTCACTGACCTTATATTTAAAGTTTACAACAGAGGTATTGATATGTCAGCTCCCCTTCCATTATTTTCTATAGCAGCATGGACTAGGCAGCCTGCCAGCCTTCTAATGTAAATAAACAGCACACGCTGTTAGTGCCCATTCACACTATTGCAGTACGGTAACATGTGCCCTACTGCAACAAACAGTAACGAATGTTATGTGTGTTGCTGTACTGCGATGCCATTCACTGTGAATGCCACCCCAAGAGGCCTTAAAAATGCAGGTGCACTGCAACAACCCACAATACAACACTTGGTGTCCTGTGTATTGCGCTGCAAGAAAATCCAACTTCAGAATCTCTCTTCTTCTAAATTTTAAGCTGAATTACTCCACAGTAGAAAGCAGCTATAGAGGTGAGTAAGAGCTTGTTTTTTTTTTTCTGGTACTCACTGATACAGATTATCGAATACTAGTACTGTGTGCCCCGATTATCAGGAAGTCAGCAGGCGGATCATGACTAGTCGCCTGGCTTTCTGATTGCCTGTGAAGCCAGTGTTCTAGTGAAAGAACATCAGCTTCACTTGCCGAGGCTGCCTGGCTTCCTGAATAAATCAGGAAGTCGGCCGGCAAGTCATAAGGTGATATCCGGCTGATTAGTTAGGAAGCCAGACTGCCTAGCAACAAGTTAGCCAATAAGGAAGCCTGGGAGGCGGGTCATAACACACCTCCCGGCTCCATGCTCGCTCGGCTCTGCCAGTGACAGGGATACCTCCCTATCTGAGCAATTGGGGAGTATGCGTACTCGCCCAAATACTCGGTATCGGTATCCGTACATCCCTACACATAACACACATACCAGGTGTTTTCTCTCTCCCAACACATACCATGTGTTGTGGTGCACTGTGTCAAAAAAATGGTTTGGGTCCGATTTTCACTGCATTGACAGCTCATTTAAATTAATGGCCTGCCTTAACACAATGCGCATAAATGCACAAGATAAAACACATTAACTCATCGCAATGCACATCAAAGATCTTAATGGGTCATTACTGCTTGTTAAGAATATGGTGATACTTGAATGTCCATAATCTGGGCGGAAGTGCACTTTAGGGGTGTTTGTACTCCTGGAAAAATGCTCAGCGTGTAAAAGAACAAAGTAAATACTGTGACAGTAATAAGGTCTGGGCACACCAAAATTAGTCAGGAAACCCATCATCCCCTAATTTTGTTGAAATTCGCCACTTTTAGACATGATTAAACCAGCCTATTAAACATATTTATTTTTTCTGTATCAATGTTTTTATTGAAATTTTTAAATATCAAACATTATAAAGATATCAATTCACAGTGCATCATCGCATTGGTTCTTCATTACAATCATGAATTCACAGGTACTAGAATTACGTATGATATATATGCACACTCAAGGAAAAGGGAGACCATGCAGTCTTAAGCGCTCATCACACGAAATCAACATTTGCTTAGACGCTAGTTTCGTGACCCTGGCAGTGAGCCAATTATCAACCAGAAACATAAGGTGGGGTAAAGGCCCCAGGAAACAGAAGTAGGAGAAAAGGGGAAAACGGGTGTTAGGGGGGGGTAGTAGTAGCCAGTCACCCGTACTACTAGGGAATGGGGGGGTCCCATAATTTGCTTACATCAATCATCCTACGGAATATCCATGACCGCCACTCCTCACTCGTACAGATATCCAGCAGATGTCCCACCAACCTAAACATATTTATTTTTTAGAGTCTTTAAAAGTCTTTCAATTCAACCATAACTGCCATTAACAAAGTTAACAATAACATTCTTTAGCAGAACATCAGAGATGGATCATACATGTTTATCCAGGCCTGCGTTGTAAACCTCTTAACGACATGCTGTAAAAGCACCTAGTGAAGCTTGGCCGACCAGAACACCGATAGCTCAATAATTGACATAATTCACAATTAAGTGGAATCGACACAGACAGTCTGAATTCAGAAAACCTGTAAATAACCCTGTTAACAAAACCTGGGGGGGCACTACATTATTAACAAATATATATTTAAATGTATAATGCAACACTGGTCACATAGATATCAAGCACCTCTGTATTATGAAGAACAGAGGGCTAAAAACACACATTACCCCTTCTGAGCAAGCCAATTACAAAAAGTATAACATATTTGGTGTGTAAAAAAACATATTTTGGCAATGTACAATAATCTATGGTTTATCAGATTGTAGCATGTAGTAAAATAAACAAAAAGGCTGCATTTAGGAAACTGACATTATGGGAGAGTGAAGTGAAATATCATAAAGCACTTCAGCCCTTCTGTCTCACACCCCTGGCACTTTCAATTTGGGTGGGGGCTGGATCAGTGACGCCCTGTAGAACACAAAAAGTTGCTGAATGAGGCAGCTGGAGCTCTGCTTTTTCCATCAAGAAAAGAACATCTGCCAGAAGACCTGTTTCTAGAGAGCCAATCTCAGATCCATGTTATGTTTAATTGACTGGACTCTGCTTGTAAGCCAAAGAACCCAGGACTTTGCTGAGTAAATTTATTCTTATTAATTTTTTGTTTTGCTGTTGTGCTATTTGTTTCTTTTCTATAATATATTTTCTGTATATTTTTTTCTGTATTATTTCTTTTTCCTTCATGAAACAAAATTTTAAAATTATTAAGCTTTATCTCTAAGGTCTAAATATGAATTTTATGAATCATTTTCTCTATGGAGAGTCCTGCCATAGTTTAAAACCTGTTATATTCCTGTCAAGTGGGACAGTGAGTCTTACAGGCATTGCTTAAGGTTGGAATTGACACAGCATTTGCTTGGAACAGTGCATGTTTCCATTAAAATACATGGTGGCAGCTATGGTTTGTGTGTGTAAAAGGTTAACTGCGGTGTTAACCAACCCCAATGATGTTCAGTCTCAGTCTGCTGGCCTTAGATTGTTGTCCCACGAGCTGGTAAAGGTCTGTGCATGGTGAGGCTGAGAGTGGCCATCGTCACCCTAACTTTTCTTACTGTCCACACTGCTGAAATATCTTCTGAAAACATAGCTTCGCATCGCTCAGTGGTTCCTCTCTCAGACCCCTCCATCACTGCAGAACACAGGAGGTTGGTGGGAGGATCTACTAAATGCAGCGAGTGACACCGCCAATAGACACTACCAGAAGTGTCAGGTTCAGAAAACCCCTCAGCGAAGACTTTCTTTACAACAAAGCGGCATTTAGGACCGTAGTCACTAAGAGAGATAAGTAGTCACTTTATAATTTTACAGGGCAAGCATTTGCAGGTACTTTATATAAGTGACAAAAAAATCACTACATTTAATGCAATTACAAAAATATAGAAGTGCAACTGTGTATAAATATGAGTCACATCAAAAATTACCTTAAGGTAATGCAACATTGAAATGCAACCTTATGTTTCAATATTTTTATTTGTTTTTGAAAAAAGAACATCACATTCCAACAATATGTAATTAAGAAAATATGAATTGAAGGTATATCAATAAAGGACAAAGTCTTCAGAGCATATTCCACCTAACAAAATATAGTCATAGAAACTAGCGATGCACCTGTACCATTTTTTCAAGACCGAGTACGAGTACCGATACTTTTCCTTAAGTACTTGCCGA